CAGGTCATGCAAACATTGACTCTAACGAGCAAGTCGTCAAAGCCGCCAAGATGCAGAACACAATGGTTCGTTAATTTCTATAAAATGGCCGCTCAAAGATGCTATAAATATTATCAAAGAAGGCATTTGGGAAGATTGGTGTAAAGATTATGAAAACTTAGCTGAAAATGGTAACTCACATTTATTCACAATTTTCAATCATACCATCAAAAAACCAGGGTTCCATACATCAAAACTTCATCCTAACGATCAAAGAATTATAAAACGAGTTTTAAGTAACCATTTATTTAGCAACAGTACGCTAGCTAAAATGAACTTAATCGAACCAGCCAGCTGTTCGTCTTGTGGTGCTGAAGACACCGTATCAAAAATTCTGTTTGAATGCACAAAGTACACCACCGTCAGAGCTAAATTCGAAACTTTTCGTGAAATTCTCACCGTGGAGGATTTCATACGCAAGCACAATTGGGAACACGTATATGACATCACAAAATTCATCAGAGAAATCAACGTCAAAATCTAATAAAGGCACGTAGACGAAGTCTAGATAATTGGTGGTGGCACTATTAATACTCGACAATTTGTCTCGACCTTCTGTCAAATTTTTTCAGATAATATTTCACATGGTTGGCAAGGCCCATATCTTTTGATCCACAACAGATACAGTCACATGTCGCACCATTTTGGAAAGGGCAAATTGTGGTCTAGAGGGACTATAATGGAGCCAAGTTCGACTTCTAAGGGGTTTTCAATAAAATCGGGGTCCAAAACCCAGTTTTTTACTGTATTTCCAAAACGGATTTTTGGAAAGGTATTTTTATAACCTTTAAAATGATACCCATTTTATATTATCCGTATCCATAGAACCGGGTACCCGTACCCGAACTTCCGGGTCAAATAACCGGATACGTCCCCCAAGAAAAAAATGATATCCCCATACCTCTGAAAAAAAATTTCAGAAAAATCTGATCGTTTTTACTAAACTAGAGTTGTTCCGGAAATATATTGAAATCAGGAAAGTTCACATATAAAAGGGGAACATTAATGGAAAAGCGTAAGAAAGTAAGAAAGAAATTTCGAGTTAACACGCTCCGTGTAGTAGACAAATTTTTCAATCATATCAATATATTATAAAAACAAATTAAAATAAAGTGAGTGCGGAATAAGACAAATAATAATTAATAGGCGTTACTAATATGTAGTTTATTCAATTAAACAGATACATTGCCTTAAGGGGGAAAAGTTTCCAACCCGAGGCGAGTGCGAGCTGAACTGGCATTTTTTCACACGGTGTATAAATGTATAATGTGTACGACTGGCTAATCGCTGCCGACAAACAAAGAGGGCTACTCTGTATTGCGATGCGTGAGAAAAATTGTAACGCATCGCGTAATTGGTACTCTCTAATTCAAGGTATATTTAATAAGGTAGCCGGCCCAGCTGTTGGACAAATAAATGTCAAAAATGTTGTTGTAATGTTGAACCAAAAAATTAAAAAACAAAATTATGAATAAAAATCTCCGAATTTCGAAGAGCTTTTTTGGCAATACTTTTATTAACATTTTCTACAAGAATTTGTGTAAAAAAATCTTGTCAATATGTTTGTTTTGGCAAAATATTTTTGACATATCAAAATACAATAACCGATGTTTGTTGTAGAAATTCGCCGATGCGGCTACCTTGTATATCTACCTTGCTCTAATTCGTTTTCGTATCTCCTTTCGCATCTACTTTACGCAAATGTAGCATCACCGCACTCTGTAATACGAAAACGCATGTCAAACTCGTTCGTTAAGCGCAAATATCTTGCGTTAACACAATAGCAAACGCAAAGGAAGCGAAACATATAAATAAGCTCCATTAAAGGTTTTGTTTATATTTAAATTTTAAATTATTTTAAGTAAAAGGCAAAAAAGTCACAGTTACAGGCTCAGCAACGTCAGTTCCTAACTTCAGTAGATTTTATGGGGCAACACAGTGATTTGGCAAAGGGACAGTTGCAGAGTTCAAATGCGAAACAACGCGCCAACAATTTGTGGACAAAACTGTCTGATGACCTCAATTCAAATTGACCTCCTGTAAAAGATGTCGGTGGTTGGAAAAAGTAATATATTATTTTTTTATATAAAATGTGAAACTATGTGTGCATATTTATAGGTTGGTGTTGATAGCCACATTGTCCAAGCAATTTCAAAGCAGCGGCCTCTTTTATTGGAGTTGGAATTGTTGTGGATCTATTTGAAACGACGAGCGTTTAAGAAATACATAAACGAATCTTTATTGAGACATTTTATATAAATCTATAAAAATTAAATATTTGAAAACATTTGTCACATAATTCGTACTTATATTTTCATACCCGTGGTCACTTAGGGAGAGTATATTTGATAGATCTCATAAAATTCTTTTTTTTAATTCGTTCGTCATTTTTGTTTAAAAAAACACTCGTACCACACAAAAATATGTTTTCATTTACAATTTTTTGACGTTTCCTTTTGTCATTCTTCGTTATTGTTTACTTTTTGGCAACAGTGTTGCCCTATTTTCAATTTAGTTTGCGAATGCGTTTGCGTGAACGTTACAGAGTACCAAATTGTACTCTTAACGCATTTAGCTTTCGCATCGCACTTGCTTTCGCAACGCAATACAGAGTAACCCCCCAGATGTTGTGTAATACCCTGTCTTGATCAAAACGGTATAAAAAACAAAGCTGCTGAACTCTTGTAGCTGTGGTACAAACCTAGCTAAGACAGATTCTTGTAGTGGCGAAATATACAACTAAAAAATTTGTTGAAGTCTTTATAACAAAATCCCCCTCAAACGCCAAGTGGCATAAACAATGTACTAAGAAGTGTCCAAATTGGGACTGTATTTGCTGACATCAAAAGTGTATCCGTCCGTTAAATTACGATATAGCTTTTAAGTTAACCAATCATATTTTTCTATTTGGTTAATTTATTTTGATAACATAACTTTTATTTAATATTGTTTATAGTCATTTTAGTTAATATTTCTAATGGTCCTTATTGCCTGGATGGAAGCTCACCCAAATGTAGCACGCGGCGTGCGTGTGGAAAGCCATTTCAAAATACCTTAACTGCCAAGGCCCACCAACACGCATTCCAAATGAATGGCAGAAAGTGGCGAACATCTTCGTTTGGGTCCATGATATGTACGTGTGTATCATCAATACATCCGATAAAACCCGGGAACTTTGTTTTCGAATAAAAAAAATATTCTTCCCTTTTTCCTCCTCTGTTAATTTGGGAACAATCCAATTTGTACACAGTTTTTCCTCTATTAGCAGGACAACTTCGGCCAAAACCACCTACATTGTGGATTGAGCCATGCCAAGGTTTGCCATGAGACTTTTGAAAACTTCCCTTCGCAAAAATACTCAGAGCTACACACACTTTTAAGAGAGGAGGAATTGCTGTTGACCGCCGGGCTTTTCGGAAAACAGGGTTTAAAGCTTCAACTAAGTGCACAACAGCATCTTTTGGTAATCGAAAATAAGCCTTCAAGCTAAAAGGAGCAATTGATTGAATATTTCTCTAAACATAAGCATCTACTCACAGCACTGATGGTAGTTCTAATGGATTTATCTCTTAAATGCCTTGTAATAGATCCCACGCCTTGCACATCATTTTCATCATCAATTGTTCCAGTGAGCTTATCTTCGCTTATAATTAGTTTTTCTGAAATATTCTAATCAATTTTTGTTTGTTTACAATATTTCTAGTTGAAGAAGTGTCAAAACAGAAAAGTTACTATATGGGTTATATGGGTGCTATATCAAAACATGGACCCAGGGACCCCATTTTTGGATTTCTATGTTTGCTTTGACATTAAAAACATGTGTGCAAAATTTTGGCAACCTATGTCAAGTGGTTCGGCAGTTAATGAGTCTATACCCAATTTTTGGGTAAATACTCTAAATAGGGGTACCTTTGTATGGGGGCTACCAGTAAACGTGGACCTACATAAATAAAATTTTGCATGGACATTTGGTACCCAAAAAGAACACTCTGTGCCAAATTACAGCCAATTTAGCCTTAAAATGTGTATAATAGGCAAAAAATACCTTAAATCGGGAGATACCTTTATATGGGGGCTATATCAAAATTTGGACCCAGGGACCCCATGTCGGATTTTTATATTTGCTTTGACATTAGAAACATGTATGCAAAATTTTGGCCGCCTATGTCAAGTAGTTCCGCAGTTAATGAGTTTATACCCAATTTTTTGGTAAATACTCAAAATAGGGGTACCTACATAAATTTTTGCATGGACATTTGTAACCCAAAAAGAACACTCTGTGCCAAATTACAGCCAATTTGGTTGTAAATGTATCTAATAGGCAAAAATACCTTAAATCGGGAGACATGTTTATATGGGGGCTATATCAAAACATGGACCCAGGGACTGCATTTCGGATTTCTATATTTGCTTTGACATTAAAAACATGTATGCAAAATTTTGGTCGCCTATGTCAAGTACCCACAAATGGGTATTTACCGGGTAAATACCCAATTTACCGGGTAAATACCCAATTTACCGGGTATTTACCCTTTGGGTAATTACCCACTGCCCATCTCTATACATTAATATAGCAAATACCCTACACATTCTACATCAATGTACAAAAAAACATTGCAATATACTTACAATTTTTATTCTACATACAAGCCAATGACTTTGAACTTTTCATCATTAATATATATATATATATATATATAATAAATTATGTTTAATCTTAAGAGATAATTTATTGTTAATAAGAAATGCATATTTACAAAACCATACAAGTGATGGTTACCTTCAACTTAATGTGTCTGTACAAAATTGATCTTAATTTAAATTATAAATATATACTTCTAAAGTGTAATCAAACATACGTTGCTACTATTGGCAACTGGATATATAATATTTCATTAACTGTGTCTTATTAAGATACTCTACAGCTGTTATTTTGAATTAATAACTTCCTGGAGAAAAAAAACAATATACATAAATATTTATTTAGGACTGATGGCTAACTACGATATCGCGAAAATTTTTAATTTTTTGGACGAAGTACGACTCCAATGTCTCTGCGCACTTGTAAAATGATGATTCTTTAGGATTGTAATAACGGCAGTTATCGAATATTTTTGTCATATCCCCAATAAACTCTGACAGTTTGCTGTAAGCGCCCTTGTTTAGTTTTTCTTCAATTTGCTTTAAATCTGCAATAAGAGTTCGAAATAAAAAACTATTTGCTTATAGATTTTTTCAAGTTACAAACCCATAGGTTCCTTTATAACTTTATAGTAGTCAGGTGCCTCCTTTGGATCAACAGGTTCCATAAATGGCCAAGCACTTTTATGAGCCTAAAATAAAGTTACAGTAAAATATGAAGTACATTTTAATGATTAAATTTTTTCAGAATAATTATTTGTTAAGAAAATGAACATCATTGAATTGAAATGACATTTTCTGATTTTTAGTAGCTTTAAAGACCACATATAATTAAATATTAACATAATTTAACTTGTACAGTTAAATGTGGTTAATGCACAACAAATAGAATTTATTGAATTTTCTACTATCGAAAATAAATATACAGATATAGTCTAAACGCGCCCTATTAAAACATCACCCGCAATAAACATATTTTAAACAGCAACCAATTGGTTTGGAGTAATCTTAATAATATTATTTCAAAAACCTTGGATATACTACTACTCTAAGAAATTTAGTTTGGAGACAGAAAATTATTGCATGCGATTTTTTCATGATAACGGTTATTAGTACAGTATATCGAAGGGTTTTGAAATAAAAAAAAAAATTAAAAACACTCCTAAGGAATTGAGGACTAATCCAAATATATTTATTGCAGATGAGGTTTTATTAAGGCGCGTTTAGACTATAGCTTTTATCGTGATAATGTGCATTTTCTCATCTTAATTGCTTAATCGAGTTAAATTTACCTCGATTTACCATACAAAATTAAATTCACTCAATATCTCGATTTGCTCGAAATCTTCTGCGAAATCGATATAATTTGTGCTTCGATTTAGAGGACAGTCTAAGCGCGCCTATAATGCGATCACCTTTTTATATTTGTAAATTTCTACTTTCATTCAGAGAAGTATCAGTTTTCACATACAGACTTCATACAGATGGTATACGGGGGTAAACATATAATTCAAATTAACATTTTAATGCATCTGTCGATGTTATTAAAATACTTTAATTACTGTGTTTCTTTTATTTACAATTGAAAAGGTGTTTAAATCAAAATAAAATTGTCAGAGGTTGCCATTAATTTTTCGGAGGTATTCTGATATTAAGTTAAATTCTCACCTGAATATGTTTAATAAGTTTACTCAGTTCAATAGTTTCGTGTTCAGTTAAATTTTTCATATTTGCCATATTAACGGAATTGTTCTTTTGGCATGCTGGACAGACATATTCATCAATGAATTCTGCTTCACTTTGAACTATACCAACGCAACGCCCATGGAACCAGTCCTGGCATTTATCACAACAAATGTAAAACTGAGACTCGTCGTATGGTTGCCTACACAAGCAATAAAGTTCTTGTGTATCCCTGGCTTTTTTGCAGTCATCGCAAATAAATTCCGACAGTTTCTTCGAATCCTCTTCAGTAATGTTGACACAGTCACCATGAAACCAATTGCTACATATATCACAACCCACATAGAATCTAGAACATTAATTAAGTATTTTATTCGTTGAAACTATTTTTTTTATATATTACTTACTTTGTATCATCATATGGTGTGCGGCAAATACAATACAGTTTTTCCTTTTTTTTGCCCAGTTTTTTTGCTTTATTGTAAGAGTTGTGGCTGCTAACATTATTTGCAAAAGATTTCGGTGAGTTTTGTTTGGGTGGTCTATAATTATATTTAAAGTATAATATAAACTATATAGAAAATGTCTATCGGTGTTTCTATCAGTATAGAAAAATCCACTAAAATAAATTAAATTAAAATTATTTAAGTCCCCAAATATATATATTTTTTTGGTTTGCGTATAAAAAATAGAAACTTATTTCAATTTAAACCTTTTCATTGGAAACATATATCGTAACGTCATAAAACTGAGGGTATACAAAAATGTTATACAGTAAAGTACGATTATAGCAAGTAAAATAGTACGTTATAGAAAAATATCGTTATATCCAAGGTAAGACAAAAAAAATTTAAGCAAAAAAAATCTATTCACAGAAATTGGTTGTTTTTGTGTCATTTTTGACAATACTTAAGCTGATTCTCTTTTTCTTTGATGAATCAGACTTGCAGCTGACATTTTTGGTAAAGGTTCCCAGTGTCAACGTAAATATTAACTTTTTAGAGGATTGTCGTTGTTAAGTATTATCCATTATGCACAAAGATTACGTCTGTATGTCTTAGGAAGTAAATGAAAATGTTTCAAATATATAGGAAATGAATATATGATCTAGCAACTCTTACAAGAAACGACCATTCAAGATTAGAATTTAATTTTGAAATTATTCTTAAAATAAATGAAAACTGAGTGAAGGGAACGAATAAATAGTTCGCTATATCCCTGGTTTGCTATAAGAGTAAAGATTTGTAATAAAATATGTTCGTCATAAACGAAGTTCTTATAACCGGTGTTCGTTATAAGTGTACTCGACTGTATAAGAACAATGTACTTACTTTTTGTTGTCTATGAAAGAAGTGCTATTAACGAAATCGTTATCGTCAAATTTGTTTGTTATAATCTTCTTCGACATCTCGTCTTTTATTTCGCTTTGCAAGTTGCGTTCAAGTAATGAACGTTTCTTTAAAATGTTACTTTTAAGAGTATCCTTGTGGCGCTGCAATGCATCCTGAAATTAAAAACATATAAATATTTTAGTTACTATACACAGGTTTGATCACGTAATCGATAAATATAATTTTTTTTTAATATTATGCTCACAAAGCAATCCTAACCAAAAAATAACTCCCAATTAAATTTTTGTAGAAATTTAAAATGTTTTTTTTTTATTTACATTATCTTATCACAATTTAAAATAACCTTTGTCATACACTGGCAACTTTTCCGGGGTGAAATATACGCTATATACAAATTTGTTTTTGGTCCATATTGACCAATGGTCAACACAGCCATCAGCCGTGTAAAATTTAGTCATCGAAAATTTACGATGTTGCAAATCTACCCCAAACGAAAAAAAATAAAACCAGGCCAACTAGTGTTTTTAATCTACCATTCAAGATTTTTAAGTTGTAAATGAGCTGTGTTATTACATGGATTGATCAAATATCACTTGGAATAGGTTACAGTATAACGTATAAGAGTTCTAGAGTTCTTCTGGCCTGGAGTTCTTCCTAAGTAGGAGGAAACAGTAAAATAATAAAATTTCAAATGAAAATCACAACTCCTCTTAGAGGTATAGCCGATTTATGGTGTCCGCATGAAGCGAAGAAAATTGTGTTTCTCAACAACTAAACGCGTTTTTCTCGAAACAGTATTGTCCACTAAAAAGGACCGAAATGGGTTGATTTTGAACTCTTTCAGTGAATATACAATTATTTAAATTTATTTTGAGACTCACTTCATACAATTACAACGAAATTACAATAGGAGTCTAAAATAAACAATCTAAACATAAAGGCTCCCTATACTTGTCAAATTAGAGCTTTTTCGGTTGAAAAACGCGGCTATAATATCCCCAAAATACCGAAAATTGCTCGAGACCGCTATATGAGAACTAAACACTCTAGCGGTCAGCTCAATTCAAACGGATTCTTACGCTCATTTGTTTAACCCTTCTTGAGACTAAACATCTGCATTATTGTAACTGAACAAGCCCTTTTGTCTGGTTTTCTGGCTTGGGTGAGTATATTTAAGTATTATACCCTGTAGGAAATGTCTACAGTAAATCACTACTGACTTACTATTGACATTGTCACCAATACTATTGACCGAATATACTCAAGTGCATTTTACTATTGACATTTAACATTTGCTTGTCATTGAGAATGAACTAGTGACATGGTCAGTAGTAAGTCAGTAGTTTGTAGACATAGACACAGCGTCACATATGTGGATACGGTTAGTAGTAAGTCAATAGTTTGTAGATATAGACACAGGGTCGCATATGTCACTAGTAAATCTTTTATAATTACATTTGCTCAAATTTTTTCTTTACCAATTACAGTAATTCACTTTAAACTCGCGTTTTTATCAACATTTCTGTCTGCTGCCGCACAAATTATTTCTAATAAAAGAAAAATAAGATATGTAGACAAGTTGTTGAAAATATGGAGACATGTCGCCACAATAGTAGACGAAAGCTATACAACACCCCACATTTCCTTCAGGGAATTGTTACTCTCTCTACAAGAGTGAGTGCGTATCAGTAAACGAGTGTAACCTATGTTACACCCCGCAATTTTTTAAAATGGAAAAATTAAAATTAGAATTTCATTGTAAACAAATTACGGATGGTTTTTTTTTTTTTTTTTTGAACACCTGTTTCTTTATGTAATAAATGCAGTAAATGTAATGTGGCCCTTAAAGGGCCCCATACACTATACATCATGCCTTACAGCATTTATCATAGTATGTGTTATTTTTTGAAAGTTTATTTATGTATGTGTGACACACACAATGCATGAAGAAAATCAAAATAGTTTTGATTTTGAAAATGAACCCCTATCAATCTGGTGAATAATATTCATTTTGAAAGTTGTCAGTAAATAAGTTTGTGTACAAAAATAATAAAATTGTGTCGGAATAAAAAAACAACTGAATTTACGACTCAAAATGCAATTTTTGGAACAAAAATCGATTTTTTGGAATAGTGATTGAAGAGTTTGACATACACTAGTCAATCTCACATATACAAAAAGGGGTTCATCGGCATGACGGCATGATTTATAGTGTATGGGGCCCTTTACAATTTCATCATATACAGTTATTTAAAAAAAAAGTTTTGCTATGTACGTCGGAAATGTATGCCATTTACGTCTACATATCAAATAAAAAAATGTAAAAATCACATTTTCATAATACTATTGATAAAATATATTAATTTGAACAGGACTATAAATAAAAAAACTCACCGATAAATTTGCTTTGTTTAGGTCGTTTGTTAAGTTACAATTATTTTCGCCCTCCAACTTGGCAATTAAATCAGGTGAAACATTGTTTTCTATTTTAACTTTTTTTATGGGAGATGTCTGTTGGAGCACTACATAGTCATTGTTTTTGTTTAATTTTCGGTTACTGGAGTCACAGCTTTGAGGAATATTAGATACGTGTGAATTTAGGTTTTTGTGGTCCACATTAATGTTATCAGCATCTGACGTTAAACTAAGACCTTAGAACGATAAAGGTTAAAATTATGAATTAGGTTTTAACAAACTAATGAAAGTAGTACATACTTGGATTCAGAAGATCTCCAGAAGAGAAATTAATATATTGCGATGTCACAAGCTTAATATCGTTTGTTTCTATGGTTGGTACTGACGAATTTGTTCCAGTTTTTATATCTTCTTGAATTGAATGGATTTTGTAGTTGACATTGTTGCTACTCGAAACTATATGTTGTGCAGCATTGTTACATTTCTCGATTGGTGCTTTTGTTTTGGTTACGTAGGTCGTCTACGAAAATTAAAACAAGTGTATATTTACTACGAGCCGGTTTACACTTCATTGCGGTTATATTTGAAATGTAAACTAGATATTGTCAATTTTTGGCATAGATTATAAAACTCACAGACATCCATCTAATTTATTACTCATGACAAAAAATGTCTATGTTTTATAATCTTTCCACGTGTTTATGTCATTGTACAGACATACCTTATTAATATTTTAAAATGGGATCAGTTGTAGTACTTATTCCAGGAAACCTTTAAAAAATTTCGAAGAGATTAACAATTAATTTAAATATATAGATATTTTAGTTGACGCTGTGTACTAATTTAATGTGCATCGTTGTTTGTTTCAGCCTTCTTGCGTTTAGATGAGATGATTAAAAATTAACAAGCCTTTGTGTTGCCAAAATATTTTTTATGATTCGTACACGAAATGCGATCCAATTATGATAGTTAATCTCTTCAAAAATGCTTTAAAGATTTCTTGAATGGCCACATTTTATTTACAAATTTTGTTAAGATTACATACATAGATGTACTAAGTTACAAATATTATTTTGTGTCTATTGCATTTCCATATTTGAGTCTTTCAAACTTTACATTTAGCGAGCGCTTTTTGTGAACACAAAGGCCAATTGCAAATAATCATCCAACTAATGCGGAAAGGTATTCTAGTTATTTGTATTTTCATAGTTTATGTCAAATTTAAACTGTTAAACTAAAAATATACTTTCTAATATCATTTAATATAGTTTGAATAGAACTTAAATCATTGCAATGTACCAAATAATTAAAATATAAATAAAAATTGAAATAAGTTCAGTATTTAATGATCCCGATGTTTTCGCAACTAAATAAAAAAAAAAAACAGAATAACATGCGGTCTCGGAATAAAACCAATTTAGGTATTGTTAAGTCAATCAATAAGTTTATTTGCAAAAAGCGCTTTACATTACATATTTTCTCGAAATTCCTTAAATTAAAGACATTTAAATAGGATCAAAAATAAATCAATCAACTAAAAATAGGACACAAAATGTACATGTAATCGTACAAAAAGGTAAGTAATGCTAATATTAATAAAAACAAACATTGTCTATATGTCGAAAATTATAAAAAATAAATATGTTTTACTCATAGCTGATATCGAGAACCACTACGTATGCAGTTCTGTATATATATATATGGTACTCTAAACAAAAATTGTCATAAGCCTCAAATTGATAATGCATTGACAGAAACATATAAAATAAAATAAAAGCATTGGAATTTTTTGCTTAAACGTATTGGATTCTTAAATAGCAATAAAATAATATTAACAATAAAATATATGTACATTAAAAAAACGGAGACAACTTTAAAAATCTAAAATATAATCTTAGAAAATAAATTGTTTTGGCGACTTTTCTGCACCTTATAAATATGAATGTCAATACTGAATATCATTAATAGTAGTATATCGTGAATTGAAACGCAAAATTTATAATATAGAATGTATGTCATAACTTTCGTATTCGCCATATTTAAAAGAATTAATGGTTATGGCAGGAGGTTTCAGTTATTTCGAACTCAGATAAATCGCCATTTTGCGTTTCTTACGATACGATATGTAGCAGGCATATGATGTAAATCGAATCAATATGATTTACATCAATATATATATATATATATAAACATTTAAAAATAACTAATAAATACATTTGCAGACTTGTTTTATTATAATTCGCACACATACGATTAACATTACGTCTGTTTATATATCTAGCAACTACTCACTTGCTGTTGTGTTTGATGAACTGGCGTTAGTGGTGGCGGTTGACCACTTGTATTAGAAGGTTGAACAGCTAGATATATTTTTGTAGGTCCAAGAACACCTTGCTTACCACTAGATTCTTGAGCTGTAAAATATATTAAAAATGAACATGTAAGTTCATAAAATATATCAATAAGAGCAATTGAGTAAAAAAATTAGAAACAATGGTATTTTCCCATTTGTATCACTGGTAACATCGCATAATTCGACTATAGAGTGACCGGAATGATATGTAAATATTTTAGAGTTTACTTTCCGTGGTATACCACTACAACTTTTTTAATTCGTATATATATATATATAGTGGTCTTATCATATGGAACTAAAATTTACTACGTTGAAATATGTTGTATATATTTTTAATAAAATTAAAAAAAAAAATACATCAACTTGTTTTTAAAAATGTTTGGTATTTTACTGTATTATTTGCTTTGATAAAATCGATACCTTGATATTCGCTTCGCCAGAACAAGTTAACGATTTTTTTAATTTAAATAAAAATATTACAACATATTTCAACGTAGTAAATTGTAGTTGCATATGAAGCACCGCTGTTGCACGGCCACAAATTTTACCTTTTAATAATTGTTGTTTTACTTGTTGTTGTACTAATGCCAATTGTTGTTGGGTAAAATCATTTCCAACAAGGCCCTGCAATACTATTCTTGGCCCTTGATCGGTTTGAATTACTTGAGCCGTCACACATTTAATAACAGTGCCAGGAGGTTGGCCTTGTAATAGGCTCTCTTCTATGGACATTGAATGTGTAGGGGGCTGAACTTGCTGTGGTGAAACAATTTGCGGCGAAGGTTGAGTCTCCTAAATATATAAATAAAAAAAATTGTATTTATATTTTATTAAAATAAATGTATAAGATTATTTACTTGTTGAATTTGTTGCGTTGATGGAGACGACATCGTTTTCGCTGGAGAAATTTGATTTTCCGGCGGAGAACTTGTTACAATATGGGAATTTCCATCACTTTGTGTTTTTATATGTGCAACTATTTGGGCTTGATTGTTCCCTAATGGCTTTATTATTACTTGTTGGCCATTGATTGTAGCAACCTGGAGTTTGCCTTGGGCTAATTGTTGAGCTAATGTGGAATTTTGTACAATAATTTGCTGCTGGTTGTTCGTTATACTTGACGTGGTTGTACTGTTAGCTGTATTTGTGTTGACTGCAGCTTGAGGCGTTTTTGGAGAGTTGTGGTTATTTTGATTTTCAACTGTGTTTGATGTGGTGTGATGAACAATCAATTGCTTAACAATTTTAGCTGTACCAGTCGACAAATTTTGCACAACATTTCCAGAAGTTTGTGTTGGATTCTTTTGTATTGGTGATTGTATAACTTGCACACTTGGATTTTGAACCGGTACTGACCTTTGCGTTACAATTGTTTGTCCTGGGCTCAGTATTATTCGCTGACCGCCTACAACAATTTGTTGTTGAACATTGCTTGTATTTACTATTTGTTGGATGACCTTTTGTGGCGCATGTGTTTCGAGATTAATTTGACTTCCACCACCAATAGTATTTGGACTAACAATACCCTGTTGATGATTATTTGGACCTTGTGATGGTATCGTCTGTGGTATATTCGATAAGGATGCGGCTGTAGATTGTTGTTGCGTTGGTTGAATTATAACTTTTTGACCCTGTGCATTCTGACCCAACAATAACTTCTGACCTGGCTGGACAATCAGTTGTTGCATTCCTTGATTACTACTTCCTACAATTTTACTTGTATTTGCCCCATTAGATTGTACTACATTAGAAACTACTTTATGAACGACGGGTGAAGTTGAATTGTGTTGATTTATTGTTGCATTTGTAAGCTTGTTTGGCGTAGTTCTGATGGGATTGGAAATTACCTGAAAAAAGTAAAATATATTTAACTATACCAAAAATGGTTGGAATAACTAGCTCACCTTCTGTACCGTATGAACGCCGGCAACTGAGTTACTTTTTGAAATTTGTTTCACGGTTACTTGTTTTACCAATGGTGAATTACTTGATTGTGCTATTGCTGATGTTTTCACGGGTAACTTCTTGTTTAATATAGCTGAGTAGTTATACAAATAAAAATATCGAATTAAATGAAATATATTTTATACGTTATAACGAAGACTTACTCTGGCTTGAATTTGTACCCGCCGAAGAATTGGTTGTGGTAAGAACATGTAGTTTACCATCAGGCATTTGAATTAATTGTTGACCGGGACTAAGTCCTCTGACACTAACTTTTCCATCAGGTCCTCGAATAATCTGCACTTTATGTTGTTGAGGGCTTGGTTGCGATGAAGAAGCACCAGGAGTGTTGTTTGGTGTTTGATTCCTCTGAGATGAAGTATGTATGGAATTTGAGGTAGAGGTAGCCGATTGTGTAGATGCCGGAACCACTACTGCGCTAGTACTAGTAGTGTTATTCGTTCTAGATGCTGGAGATGAAACGGCTTGCTGTATTATTCTCGTTGTACCATCTGGGTTCTTAACAATAACCCGCCGGCTTCCAATTATTTGACCCTTAGCTGAAATACACGTAATCTACATTAAAGCTGTTCATAAATAGTCAAAATTACAATTTACTCTTACCTTGTGAAACAGAGGACCTTGCCAGCTCATGTGGCAATTTCTTCGGCTGATTAATAGCTATTCTTTGTACTTTTGCCTGTTGTTCATTTTTGTCCTTTGTTTCCTCTCCTGTGTTCTTATTTACCGCTAGACTCTTGTTAAGACCACAATTGCTATTAACAGATCCATTACCAGAGGACGAATCATTTTGCCTTTGTTGTGATATAGATCGTGTCGTCGCCATAAGTTTGGCTTTCTCCATTTTTTCTCCAATGAATTTAATCTCCCATAACTCCAACTTGTCTTCCTCCACCCACTCTTCTGAAACTTGCGGCTCTGTTGGTTGGGGCGATTCAGCGCGCTTTCTTTTGCGTAAGCCGGACCTTATAGAGGTCACCTCTAAAATTATGAAAACGAAAATAGATAAAAACAATTTTTAAAAATTGAAATTAGTTTACCTCTAATTGTTTTCGGCATTTCCAGTGGTATAACAACCTTTCGTCTTAAATACTGTGTTCGTTCACCATATCTACCGAAATTCTTTAACTTCAAGAGTTCCAATGTAACTATTTCTGTTTCAGTATTCATTTGATGTTTGCCATCTGCAGAAGGGGGTTTTGCGATCATATCATCCCATCGCAAACAAGACCATAATATTCTTAGTTGCAGCGCTATGGCTGAAAGTGTGGAAACGTTTGACGTTCTGAATGACCAACAAGTTTTAAAGAGTGGCCTAGAGCAAGGATATGGCCAAACAAGTTGATTATTTTTTGCCAAATGATGAAAACCACTTGCGGGAATTTTTCCTCCAACGCGTGCTATGCGCAGAAGTTCGAAGCGCGGTAGTGTCAATAAACTTTTTTTGTGCTTATGTGTTAAAAAACTTGATATGAGGGGAAATTTGGAATATGATGAACTATTGGTCTGTTTTGTTGATGCATCCTCTTTGCCATCTCCTTGGTTCGCAGATTGTGCCAGTTTTGAAATATCCTGGTGCAAATACACCTTACCTCTTGTAGAGACTGTTCCATAAATGCGTTCTTTTCCATTGGGATAAAATTCTTTTTCAAACTTTACGTCTTCCCGTTTTTGAATGCGGGGGAGAATGGGAAACCTCCGATTTTGTTTCTTTTGCGAAACGTCCATAACCAGAGTCTGATCAAGAACGTCCTTAGTTCCAATGTATGCTTTTGTTCTAGCTTTGGTTGCCTTTTTACTCTTTTTTCCTTGCTGACAATCATTGATTTCATCCACAGATCCAATATTTACAACTGCTGACGATGATCCGTCATTTGTAGTTTCCGAACTTTCTATCTCCACATTACTACAAACATCCATATTATCTATGAAATCAATTTTCTCATCACTACTAAACACAGTGGAGCTGTTATCTGCATTATCAATTTCCGTTTTTATTTTGTCAGTCATCTTTGACTGTTCGTTGTCTTCGGCAGTACTATTAATGAAACATTCTTGCAAAACTTTGTCATCAAAGGGAATTGCTGTACTGCGAGCCTGCTCCCAATCACTTATCAAATCCATTGGTGTATCTTCCGGCCATTTCTGATCGTCGTACTCATCTGGCGAAGACGATATATCTTTTTTGCCTTCTGTCAATTTTTGTTCAAGAATAGATGGTTTCTTAACAGCACCAAGAATGGCTGCGACTGTTTCCTTAGAACCTTTTCCTGCTGCATGTGCTTTACGAAGCAGTAACAAAAGTTCTTTTTTTGCTCTTGCCTTTTGCAGACAAAGTGGGGAATAACAAGTATTTTGTGTTATCTGAGAAACAGCATTAGAATTTGTGTTACATTCCTTGGTATAGCATCGGTATTGCTTTGCAAATCGGTTTAACTGACTGAACTGCAGACGTACACTTTGAATTTTTTTGGCTAAGGAATTGACAACATCTATATTGACTGACGCATTGTTTTGAGAAATTCCGCTTTTCTGTGACTCTACCAGCCGAAGTAATCGTTTCTCGAGAAATGATGGCTTTGATGTGGAAACTCTTATCGATGATGATGCACCGTTGTTTGAAATCGGTGTTTTTGAATCGCCAGCCACCGTGTCCTCAGGTTTTAGAGATAATAGTTCCTCAGCCTCCTTCAGCTGAAGACGTCGTGACAACAAATCATCTAAGTACGACTTTTTAGCAACCTTTGGATACAAAAGCCTACCAGGCGTTGAAAGTGATTTGGACACATCTATTGTACCAATTTCTGCGTGGTCAATCGAATGAACCTTTACGTTTTTATAATTATCCATATAGTAGTAGTCATGTCCTTGTTTGGAATTATTTTCGCATTGTAAAATAAATTTGTACGTGCGCGGATCAACCGTCACAATTTCATTCACTTCCTGCCCGTTTGAGTAGTGAACTTTCATTTTGTACGGTAACATGGCTTGATCACGTATTCTCAAGCGGCGCATTCGACCACAACGTCGACTAGACGAAAGCCACATCCATCCCCATTGGCCATGAACTCGGTATTCTTCGCCCTTCTGTTTCCACACTTGGTGTTTTAAACCAAGGGTGTATTTTATATAATTAAAAGCCATACGATAACGTTCTTCTTCGTCGTCCCTTTCCCTCTTTTCTCGTTTTTCAATTTTTTTGCGATCTTCACGTTCCGCAGCTGTTATACGCCTTAATGTTGTATGGCCTAACTGTTCATGCCACACATTGGCAAAAACTACATTTTTAATGGAGGCTTGAAACAATAGTAATACAAGTGCAAAATCAGACGCCGTCTTACATGACATAACGGCGGAACTCCATAATTTCTTTATGGATCCCCAGTTTGGATTTAGAAATGAAGATACGATATTCTGCTCAAATGTTAGTAGTGTTTGGCGCAGTGTTGAAATAATGTTATCCACAGTTCCCATTGTAACTCCCATCCATTTAAATTCGGATGCAGTTGTAAGTGAAAATTTGTGTGATAAATGCCTTCTTTTGTCTCTTTCCTCATTCCTTTGCGGTTTATTCAAAGCAATGGGGTTGGAAGTGTACTGGTTGACATATGTTTTAAAGGAATTCTCCATTCCAAGTTTAAAATATTGTATACCGCTCGATATTTGAGATGACTTTTGTCTAGTTATTACTTTGCTTTCCATGCCAGTTTTTGATGTTTCATTAGCAGCTTCATCACAACCATCAGTTTTTTCCGGATTGTCACCGTCCTTACTTTGTTGTTCGTTTTCAATTTCTAGATATGATTTTTTATGATTTTTGTATTCATTTGTGAGCGTTTCAGTTATCTTTAGTTGCCTCATTATTTCGTCTTTTATTTCTGTTAATTGTGAATAAAGTCTTGTTTCCAAATCCTCACCATCCAGTAGTTTTAAAAGTGTTTCAAACTTGGAAGTGGTACTGTAATACCACACATGCTCGCCAGTTTGATCTTCTACAAATATTCTTCGAGCTATAAACCAAAATTTCCGACCATGCCGATCTAACCCTAGCACGTCATGACGAATCAAAACTCCTTGCTTCTCCTGGGACAGTATACAATCCACAACACCACTCACCTTATGTGCTTTGCAAATGCCACATTGCCAGTCTTCGGTCGGTACGTCCAACATTGGTGGCTCAACACACTCTAAATGGTAGACGGCAGGACACGTCTCGCAACATAATAAATCGCCGAGGCGATGACATACACGACAGTGATCATCATAATGAATGGGTCCCTCTTGCAACATTACGTCACGGATTGCATTCGTCGTAAGAAACTGATCTGTTAAAAACTGCAAAACTCGAACGCGATCTTCAATGCCAGTATAGGGATATTCCCCATTTGATAATATGTTAAATATTTCTCGATCAAAGAGTTCATCGCTTTCAACATAACTTCTTAAAACCTCGGGCCATGTAATGGGATCAATCAAGTATAAGCTAATGTTTACACTATCTTTCTGGTCCAATGGACTAAAATGGGTTCCTTGCACATCTTCTTCTCTCAAAATTGCTTTGAGAAGCATTATGTGAATATCTGTTAGCAGGGCACTCTGTTCATCACATACGAGAGCGGCACAAAAATCTTCGAAGCGAAATGGGGAAAGCCGTACCAAATGACGAAATCTCCTAAGAACTTCGTATACTCCAAGAGCTCTCATTACCATAACACCTTCTATAAGCAAATCATGGGACGATTCTGGTAACTCCAATGATTCAAATTCCCGATCTTGTAACCATACTGGATCAGGGCTAGGAGGTCGTGGCGGTCTTCCCAAACCGGTTTGGTTAAAACTGCATATTGAGAACTCAGATTCGCTTTCGTTTCCTCCATCTATGGTTTCATCTTCGGAGTGGGACATAAGAATATCTTCGTCGTCGCTTTTGTCCGTCGAGTCTCCAAAATCAGATCCATAGTGGTATTCAGATTCGTAACCTAAAATGTAGAAATACATTAATAGACTTCCTCGCAGTGAAATAAATTTGACCAAGTACACATTTATGTAAGTTTATATATTAGAGGTAAAGCACCAAACTTACTTTTTCTATTGGAGTATGAATTATTTGCGTTAGATTTACGTCCACGACCCCGACTCCTGTTTACATTTTTCCTGTTGTTGCGACTCCCATCGCTCTCTTGTGGGGAGGAAGCCCTCGATGCCGACGGCGTGCTTTGTGAATCGCTGTTCTTGCTTAGATATTTAGGCTTCTTAAGAAGTTGATAGTTAAATTTGCTACCAGCTGCTCTTTCATTCGGGGTCTTTGGCGGTCTTCCCCTTTTACGATTACCACGGCCACTCATATTTTTGTATTATTTTCTTGCCTTATAATAACTATTCAAACGTACGTGGTCTTCTTTTTTAATGAAATGCTTTAAGGCTCAATTGGCTTCATTCGTACAATGGACAAAACGCTATAAACAATTGAATTTGACATCCCGTATACACTCCGAAATTTGTTTACTTGTATTTACAACCAACTATTAAATGGTTTGAACGTCCACTTTCATTTTTACATTATTTAATTATTCACAGACAAACTCTTTGTCGTCGGAATATATTACTCAAGAAGTATTTATAAACTGCAACGAACTTTCAGTGTCCGCATAAGTGGTTCACAAGTTATTATGAAGAAGGAATTTGATAATTGTTAACACTTTAACACCAAAACTCTGTATTTTCATTAGGATTAACAAGAGAAAATATTGTACATCTACCAATGAAGTTTGTATTTTAAATGTTGGCAGCACTGCGAACGTTGGCGTGATTTCAAAAAAAGACAAGGATGGATATACATGTTTTCAGATAAAGAGAGAACATAGCATTTCGTGGTCGGAGAAGTTACGTACAACATAAAGATTGCCATAAACGCCAAGGCGATACATCAATTAAGCTATAAGCATATCCAAATACAAATTTTTCTCTACAAAAGGGATCAATAATGGTGCAATAACAAGATGTATGTTAATATTCTGTCAAAACAATAACTCAATTTGTATATATGGCATAGCCGTGAAAAATACAATTTATAAAATTTCAAATTCATTTGTAATTACAATTCAACATAACAGCATTCAAAAATATAATCTTTCAGATGGTTAGGAACAAGGTAGATATGCAAGGTAGCCGCATCGGCGAATTGGGAACATGATATGCCAAAATTGTTTACCAGGCGAATAATACTAATTTCGCCGTGACATAAACAACTCGGAGCAAATTAAAATCAACCAATCACAATTAAGCATATTGAAAAAAGAAAAATATTTGTTTACTTTTTAAAAATTGAAAATTTTTAAAATAAGTTGTGTAAATATCTGATTGAGTAGAAAAATACATCAAAAGTGCGCCTTAAATGTGATAATGTTCGTGACATCGGATGTAGTGAGAGATAACAATATTAAGCTATTCTTTACTCGCATGAAATTTTACACTCACATGAAATTTTTTAAAACAATATATAATAAAGACAAAAAGGTCCTATCGAACCAAATCTTCTTTTCGATCCCAAGGTCTTGTTTTTGATTCCATTGTCTTCTTAAAGAAATATCATTTCCATAGCCTACCGGTATGCCTTTTTATCCTTTTTTATTCTTTATTTTCAAATATATTTCAATTTTTAAATTCTTGTTTGGGTTTGAAAAAAAATCAAAAACAACAACAAATTGTTATGACATATAATGTTACCATCAGCTGGTTTGATCCGGTTACCTTCTTAATATACCTTGGTTAGGAAGATATATTTGGTCTGTTACAGTACTTTTTTGATAGTAAAACGGCATTTACATTAGAACATTTTACCGGTTAACCTTCTTTATGAGGATTTATTTGACATATATTCAAAGGAATTGACAATTGAAACCCACTGGCTTAACGAAATCCGGTTAAATGTAAACGTACTATAATGCTAGTATAAGGGAACATTTAAAGATCGCTCTCAGAGTACAAAATAATTTGAAAAGTTCGGGAATCCAAATCTTGTAAAACGGCATATACATTAGAAATTTTTACCGGGTTAAACGGCATGTACACTAGAACTTTTTCACCGAGTTAACCTACTTTATGAGGATTTATTTGACATATATGCAAAGGAATTGACAATTGAAACCCACTGGGTTGACGAAACCCGGTTAAATGTAAACGTACTATTAACCTACTTCATGAGGATTTATTTGACATATTTGCAAAGGGATTGACAATTGAAATCCACTGGGTTAAGGAAATCCGATTAAATGTAAACGTACTATAAATATGCCAAAATTAGATGACAATACTTCGAAATCAACATAACAACCAATCAGAAGTTGGCATTCCTGTTTACCATTTTTACTTGGACAATTTTTCCAAGTTAAAAATTTAGAAAGAGAACGGCATTTTGTTCTGTGTTATTTTAAATTTGGTTCAATATTTTACCAGTTTTGTGGAACGGTTTTCAAGTAAATAAGCAAAACAATCTGTTAGATATGTTTATATATAAATATGACATTATAAAGCTACAGACTACAGATATTTTTCAAGTAAAACTACTTTTTTTATTGTGCTCATGGTAGAATGACTAGAATTACATTGGCCGACAAAAGTCTACATACGGCCAACATTTCGGCATTTCCACAAGTCTATGAACTATTTGAAAAAAATGTAGTTCTGTTTGATAGTTTATTTAATTAATAAAAGCAAAAAAAATTTAACTTTACATCAAATTAAAAAAAATATTCATAAAAAACTAAATATTAGTGATGACAAAAGTCTACATACGATCTGTTTCTCTTTCTCAATGTTATTGTAACATGTTGAAAGACAACTGTAAAAAGTACTTAATCGGAGAGACGTCAGCTGCATTCTGAAAGAAGTGGGTAAAAATCCGAAAGAGAATGCCACAAAGTTAGCCCAACAAATTGCAATAAGGTCGATCTCAAATGTTAATTCCATAGCGCATAGTCTCATTATGTTTCCAATTTTTTCATAAATTTGCTTTTGACAACATTTAGCTTTCAAAATTTAAATGAAAATACCTTCTGTCGAAATGTACGCATAGCATATGTTCAGTTGCAAAAATTGCTAAATCTTTTCCCATTAGGAAATTGAAGTAAATTGTAAATCAAATGGCAACGAACTTCTGTTGCTATTTTTTGACTTGAAAATTTATAAAAAATTAAAGGCTACAGATTTGGAAATATAGCAAAAACTGTCAAACATTTCACAAAATGTTGTATTTTTTATGGTTCCCCATATATAATACAGTATTTTTCGGTCAATTGCACATCAAATTGTGCACAAATTTTTGTTCAATTAACGGAGGAGCCAATTATCCGAACCCGCTTAATTGAATAATTTATTCAATTACAGTAATCACGTATAATTGGAACTACTAATGATTTAAAAAATCCAATGTCAAATACAAATTACGCTTTTTCGCAGTTTTTCCTTAACATATCTTTTGAATTAGTAGATATGCCACCTAGTCTTTTTCAGAAATTATGTCAAATATGTATGTAAAAAATGGCAGATTATTTTTCAATTATTATTATGCAATTAACCGATAAAAAAAGGAAAGGAAAAAGGTAAAAGGAAATTTATTTTTGATGACATGGATTTTAAACCAATTAAGCGGGAAAATCAATTAACAGGGTTTAATTATCCGAGAAAATTTACATGTATTTTCCTATGAAATATTTTTGGCCCCATCATGTGGTTCAATTAAGCGTGGAAACCAATTAACCGTAGGGTCAATTAACCGACAAAATACTGTATAGCTCATATTGTGTTATTAATTTTTTTTATTTACATATAATGTGTACAAAATGTTCCTGCTGGGTCGTTTTACATAAATCAAAAATAGGTGTGTCTGGTTACTTTTCCAGTAACATTTATTCAGTAAGTTCAAGTTCAGAAAGTAAGCCTTTCTTACTCTCTTTTGCGATAATACTGAAAAAAGTAAACAGACAACATTTAGTAAGATTTAACAAATAAACAGCTGATTCAAGAAAACATGTGATTTGCGCCAAAATAAACAACAAACAAAGGACGAACACAATTATTTGTATTGCATTTAATAATAAAAATAAAATGAATAATAAAAGAAAAATTGATCTGGTATGTTCCCCGGGAACATTTAAGCTCCCTGCATCAATATATTGCCCTCTATCTGGAACTTGACTAAAAATATATAGGGATTAGTTTCTAATTTAATGAAACTTTGCCTTACTTGCGAATTTTCTTCCATTTTCTGTAATTAACTTCAAATTGAACTTTGCAAATTAAAACAAATGTTTCAAATAATTTTTGTGTTTGGTCAGAAAACAGCTGCTCAGAAAATGGCTGAGTTGCAAAATCTTACTGAATAAAATTCTTTCAGTAAACTCCAGCAACTTGTTGTTGTTCAACTGTCAAACTTGCTCTCTCACTTGACTCTCTTTTACTAGATTTTTGTGTAAACAGACAACATTTAGTAACATTTGGTTAACAGATGGTTCGAGTTAACAGACAGAGCTAATGTCATATCGAACCAGATACGAGTATTACGATGAAACCATATCAGCAGAGTATTGCAGTTGCCTTGTATAATTGTACCATGATTTCTTCCCAAAACATTGAAAGTACTTAAAGTGTTTTTACACAATAGTTCCAATGAACGAACTAGTTCATTGGAACTATTCCGAGAAAGGAACGATCGGAACTAGTTCCAGCTCTGTAATTAATATAGTTCTTTCTGATCTCGTTCCTTTTTTATCTTATTCATTTATTCTTTTCCTTTTTTCTGGTTCTTTTTTCTGATTTCGTTCCTTTATTCCCATATTCTTCATTCGTTCGTATTTCAAATTGTGTAAATTTCAATTTTATTTTTTTGTTTTTGTTTTAAATATTTTTATTTATTTACAAAAATAGTATTTTGAGCTTATCGTCCTGCAGTTGAATTCTTTAGCATCATTTCATTTTTTTAATTTTATTACCATTTAGTACTCTTCATACACATAAGCACAGTTTTCCGAAATCTTTTTTTTATTTTATTACACAGATTAAAAATAGATCAGATTTTAGCAAATACGTACAGGTTCAGCATTTAGTTTCATTTAACACTTTTCGAATACATAAGTATACATTTTTAAGACTACCTCCATACCACCACTACCACTAAATTTAGTACCAGTTACTTCCAAAATCCCTTTGGTACTTCTTTCTTACTCTCCGTCAGTGACCCACATTCTAAATTTTAGGTTTCCAGCTCTCTCCGTTACCCAAATCCAAATATAGTGCATTTTCTATAACATACTATTCGTACTTCATGTACTTCAATTCTGCTTTCAAATAGTA